GCGGGGAGGGCGTGGGCAGCTCCTGCCACTGTGGGGCCGCTGGTCCAGGAGCTCCTTGTCTGGTGGCTCATCTGGCAGCTCTCACCACTGCTCCCACTGCTGGAGGGCATAGGGGGCGCAGAAACATGTGCCCCCAGATCTGCACAAGGCAGCCAGGGCTGGGGCTGCACTCCAGGTGGGTGGTGGAAAGCAGTGGGAGTGGGGGCTATGCCCTCCTGCCATGTACCCAGCCAAAGTGGGGCAGAGCAACTGCATTGCCTACAGACAAGTGGTGCAGTGCATCCAGAGCCACTCCCGCCTCCCTGCACCTCCCAGATGAGCTGTGGCTTTGCCCCACCTTGGCTGGGCAACTGGCAGCAGTGGCAGGGCATGGGGGCAGGGAGGGAGTGTGCCCCTGGATCAGGGCAGGGCGGGAGATGGAGGGGGGGCTATGGTGGGGCTGTAGCCACCCTAGAATTTGTCATAGCCCCCACTACCCACCCAGAGTGTAGCCCTGATCCTGCCCGCTCCACACAGATCCAAGGGCACGTGTCCCCATGCCTTACCATTGCTCGCCCCAGGTTGAGTGGGGCTCAGAGGCGTGGGGGGGCTGGGGTGTGCTACTTGTCTGGAGGCAGTGCAGTGCAGCAGCTCTGTCCTGCCGCAGCTGGGCGAGCAGCAGGACAATAGTCCCTACTGCCAGATTTTTTTGCCACTCGCCCAGAATGTAGCCCTGGCCCCACCTGCCCCGCACAGATCCAGGGGCACATGCCCCTCCCAGACCAGTGGTGTGCAGTGGTGGGAGCTGCACCCCCCACCTGCTGGGCATCCCGTGTCCCAGCCTTAGCCCCAACCCCTCCCTCGCTCCGGGGGTGTTGATCTGCCCCCCATGCCCCACCACAACAGACTTACCAACCCCATCAGAACCTCGAAGCAGTGTCGTAATTTACAAAGGTCGTAAGTGTCAAGGACAGCCTGTACCTTGCAGGTAGGCCAGCAACATGAAACTGCTAAAATGTATATTTTTAAAGTGCTTGCTGCCTCTTGGCTGGCATATCAAAGACTAGGATTATAGAAATCTTTTTCCTGTCCCACTGCTAAATGGCATATCAGCAAATGAACACCATTACTGTAACAAAGGGTGCAGAAGAGAACACAGTGATTAAATAGGAAGGAGAAAATGGAGTACCAGGGGTTGGAAAATGACAATAATTAAGGTCCATATCACACTTACTTTGAAACTTAGATTTCCATGTGAATAACTAGACTATGAAAGATGAAAACTTTTCAGAGTGTATGGGAAATTCTATATCTCCTATGTATTCTGACATTTTTGGCGAAAAGAGGCCATAGTGGGTTATTTTTTCTGGCAGCTTTGATGCAGATAGAATTTTAATGGTAAAAGTACATTCGGGGTTTAATGATGTGGATTAAATGACTGAGAGACAGAATTTTGAATTTTGAGTGCTGAAGTGACTGCATCCATGTCAATAGCAAACTTGTGCTTTGAAACAATGGTTCTTTGGTTAGTATATTAATGCCTTGCAAGCTTAGCAAATCATATATCACATGGTACTTGTAGCCTTTGGAATGTGGAGTGGACAGTTAATTAAAATATTTTTTGTAATGTGCATACCACTTTTGTGCATTTTATAATGAAACCTAAATAATGCATCTTTTTTTTTTTTTTTTAAAAAGAGTGATGTTTAGCATAATGGTTAAAAGAAAGAATGGGGGTGTGGAGGGAATCTATCCTTGTAACCCATGGGGGCCACATACTATGAATGGCTTTGGAGGGGTAGGGGTAAGTTTCTTGACCTTTTCTCTCAGTCATTCTAGCTGCCAAAAGACCCCAAAAAACAAAAGCTAAACTTCTCTCTCTCAATTCCCAAATAAAGTTTCAGTGTTTTGATGGTAATTCATAATGGTATGAACTATCAGGCAGAGATGCTGTATTCACTGACTTAAGCAATACCTGTATACCTTGTCAACAGCTATCAGAAATAAACTGCAGATAAGAACCTATTGATACTCAAAAATCAGTTTGAGCTTACAAGTAATGTGTTGTTAAATGTGAACAGAGGAATGCTTTGCCAGTGCCTATATGTGATATTTTGGGAAATAGCCTTATTGTAGCCTATACTCAAGTGACGTATAGCATGTAGTATAGCTTGGTAATGATGCCTTAATTTTATACCCATTTAGATAATTCCTGATACTGATATAAGAAAGTGGAAGTATGTCAGGGGTTTCCATTACTGAAGGGATTTTTCAGGCCCCTAACTGCTGTCAAACGTTTTAATGTGTTTTCTTTAAATAGGGGTGGTCACAGCATAAATTGAGAATATTTCCTTTTCTCTTTGAGCGAGTAAACAGACACGGACTGTAAAATGTTAGAAATGCATGTTGTTTTAGGAACTGACACATCAGTATGCCTATTTAGGGAAGGTTATAAATTTCCTTTGTTCAGAAAGATTAATCAAAGCTGAAGCTTACAAAATCTCTTTTCTTAAACTTTTCAGATAGCTGTAATACAGAAACTCTTCGTCTGTGGACTGTCTTTATTAATTCATCTGACTGTTACAAAAACTTTACCTGTGGAATATAATATTGATGATAACTTCAGAGCTACAGCATCTTGGCCTATACGGATTCTCTACCTGTACGTGTCTCTTATGGCTGCCAGACCCAAATACTATTTTGCATGGACTCTAGGTAAGTAACTAAAAACACATGTATATAATTTTGCAGCTTGAGGTACTATGTCAGGTATTAAGATGGAAGAGAGTGCCCTCTTGAGGTTAGAAAGGAGTATCAGTTGTAGTGTCAGATACTTTCTGGCTAGGAAGAATGAGTTGAATTACTAACAGTTCACAAGTTAATATAAAATTATGCATAACTTTAGAAACTAGATTTTAGGGACAGCTGAATGGATACTTCAACAGAACATAAGTTTGTGTGTGTGTGTGTATTTTATATAAAAATAAAAAAAGCTATGTTCTGTCAAGGTCTATCCATTCATCTGTCCCTAAAATATGTTTCTCATTTTATACATAATGTTATGTTAACTTGTGAAGTGTGTATGTATACCCTTTAATCAGGTCTTGTGTATGAGCCAAAACTGCACCCTACTGGGATTTGGGGTCACTGTGGTGTGACTGCTCATGGTGGAGCAGCTCTTAGCAAGTGCCACCAGGGCCAAACCTCAGGGACGAGCAAGTCTGGGGTGCCCTAAAATGCCAGCCCCCTGCTGTCTTGCAGGTAAGCCTTTGGTGGGGAAAGACTAGGGGGCTGACCCCAAAATAAAAGTAAGGGCAGGGCTAGACTGTTGATCAGAGTGGACAGCTACACCTGGCTCCCTCTGGAAAGTTCTCTCTCGTGGATCAGGTGGCTGACCAGGTATGCTCATCTCCCCAGCAATGAAGGCAAATGGCAAGAGCTGTGTTTAGGGCATCATTTCAGGTGCTGCAGGACTTGATGGCTCTCTACTGCATCCAGATTTGTATCCACTGATGTCTTGACTCTGTCATGCCACTGGATTCAGACAGGCTTGGATGAGAGAGTGAGGGCGACTCTGTGCAACTTTCCCTCACTTAAATCCAATTCACACACAAGTCATGACAAGGCTATATCTCCCCATAAACACACTTAAGTACCTGGAGCAGATGTGCTATACCAGCAGAGGTCTACAAGGCCGGAGGCTCACACATGGCTTTGAACCTGCCTGAACTCTTCCAGTCACTGTGGACTCATCGTACAGGAGTAGAAGGGTGCATCCATCATCCACCTATACAAGCAGAAGGGCAATAGATAATCCTGCGACAACCATTGGGGTATCTCCTTGCTGTCAGTAGTTGGTAAAATCCTTGCTAGAACTCTGTTGAATCGCGTTGTGCAAGACATTGAACAAGAGCTCTTGCCTGAGTATCAGTTGCAGTGTCTGATACTTTCTGGCTAGGAAGAATGAGTTGAATGAAAATCAGTGTAGTTTCAGGAAAGGATGCAGGACAATAGACATGGTGTTTGCAGCTTGTCAACTTCAGGAGATGCCAGGAACAGAGCTCCAAGCTGTACATGAATTTCATTTACCTGACAAAAGCATTTGATACAGTCAGCTGGGAAGGTCTTTGGAAGATCATGGCAAAATTCAGTTGCCCAGAGAAATTCATTGCAGTGGTTCAGGAGTTCCATGATGGCATGCTCACTTGCTTTGTGGATGACAATGAATCATTTGAACCATTTCCAGTCACCAGTGGAGTCGAGCAGGGCTGTGTGTTGGCTCCACTCCTCTTCAGTATAATGTTTGCTGCCATGCTTACAGATGCCTTTCATGACTGTGACACTGGGATTCACATCCATTACCAGACTTATGGCAAACTCTTCAATTTGAGGACACTACAGGCACAAAGTTACAGGAAGTGACTGTTTGTGATCTTCTGTTTGCTGATGACTTCCCTGAATGCGAAATCTGAGTTTGATATTCAACCGAGTATGGACCATTTCTCTTCAGCTTGGTTTCACAATCAACACTAAGATGACAGAAGCCATGCACCAGCCTGCACCGGGAAAGCCTTATGTAGAGCCTGCCATCACAGTGAACTTCCAGACCCTCTAGGCAGTGGAAATTCAGCTGCCTCAGCAGTACACTGTCATGCACAGTTACATAGATGATGAAACCAATGCCAGAATTGCTAAAGCAAGTGTGGCCTTCAGCAGACTACCTCCAAATATGTGGGAGTGCAGAGGCATCAATCAGTAAAGAAAACTGATGGTCTACAAAGCCATTGTGTTGCCAGACCTGATGTATGTATGCGAAACTTGGATGGTGTACAGATGCTGTGCTATGAAGCTGAGCTACTTCCACGTGGGCTTTCTGAGGAAACTGATGAAGATAAGATGGCAATACAAGGTCCCAGATACTGAGGTTCTTACATGGGCAGGCATTCCAAACATCCACACTCTGTTAATAAAATCAGAGATGAGATGAGTAGGCCATGTCACCGGGATGTCAGATGAAGATCTTTTACAGTTAGCTGAAGGAGGGAAAGTGCTCTGAGAGAGGCCAGAAGAAACACTTCAAGGACTCCCTCAAGTCATCCTTGAAACACTTCAACAGTCCTGGAAGGATCTTGCTCGTGATCGTTCCACTTGGCAAAGCCTCATCCATACTGGAACTACCATCTATCAGCGGAGAAGAACTACTGAGGCAGAGCAGAAGTGCAAACTGCGTAAATCTCGCAACAGCAGCATGTTTCCTGTTGAAGAAGTAACCTAAAGCAGCATCTCTTGCTCAGTGTGCCATAGACGGTTCAAAGCACAAATTGGGTTGATCAGCCATTCATATATTCACAGAAACCAAACCAACCAGTGATATCAAGGTCATCTTTGAATTCAAAGGATGAACACCATGATACACTTCAATGAGTAGAGAAACTCCTTAACCTTTTTAAATTGAATTAAAACCACTGTCTTTATTCAGGTCATGTTAAGAATAGCACACTCTGCAGCTAATTTTAAAAAAGTTTACTGGGTTAGATTAGCCCAACATCAATGGGAGACTATGTAACTCCATTTTGACATTGTAGCATGTAGCAATATGGTTCTCACTAACTGTAGTATAAGTTATAGGAACTTCCAAAAGTGATAGTGAGCATTTCACCTTGCTCGGCTTGTATTCAATACATTAATGGCTTGCTCCCAAAAGAAAAATGCATGTAAACCCTGTTTTAAACAACAAAATCAGTCTGCTGTTTTCTTTCTCAGTTAGTTATTTTATTGCTGTTTGCTTGTTTAATAAGGAAACCTTTAATAAGGACCTTCCATAAATCAGTGCAGGGGAAAGCATTCAGAAATCATGTTCCTATAGAATGATGCCAGCTCTCTTCTCCAGTTCTGGCTATCAGTCATATAAGTGAGTGAGAATCTAAAGAAAGCAATGTGATAAAGGAGGCTTATTAGAGCAGAAGGACTCAATTTCATTCCTGGTCAATGAATTAAGTGTTGTAAGCCTATCTGGGCACAGAATAACTAATACTGCTTTCAGAAAAAATGTCTGATTTGCTGAATAGTAATGCTTTCAGGTTTTTGTTTTTTCTGTCTTTATTCCTTGCAAATGCTAAAGATTTTTAAGATCTGTTAAGAAAATTGCCAGGACAGTCCTGGATTCTGTAGGCTGGTTGGTCAAAAAGCCTCAGAGCAAAATCCAGTGGGAGGCAGAGCAGCATGATGCGTCAGGCAAGCAGGTGCCGCTGCTGTGTATAGTACAGTATATCTTAGTATTGGTACACTGTTTGCTGCCTTTAGTTTGAAAATTATATGTGGAATTGGTAGAGCCTTCACCTTCAACTGGGACATATAAAATGTGGTGCAGGATTAAATTTGGCATGTATGGTCTCAAATATGGAACGTCTAATTTTCTTCGACCTTTTAAAATTATAATAAAAAAATGTAATTAGTGGAGGAATCAATATGTGACAAATTTGGGGGTAATTTCATAAGTATTCCAGACTCTGCCTTTTGGGCCAGCAGAGGTCAGCACAACTTGGTTGAGTCGTGTCAGACTTGACTGGCAGCTAAAGAATTCAGTGGAAATTATGGTTTCTTTTAGGTGGAAGAAATGAGCTGTGATAGTGGGACTAGATAAAGGGAACAGTGTCTAAATGTAGTCTCTGCAAGATGAAAATATTTAAGTCATACTAACATCATGGGTATGGATTAGTAAGCAAAAAAAAAAACTGTTGTGAAAGGAGGAGAATAAAAGGCGTAAGAATTGCATTTGCACCATATATTTCACATAGAACATGCTCTGGAATAAGATGTGCATCTTATTTTTTAAAGGAAGAATGAAAAAAGTGTATAATTGAGTAGCAGCAGCTAGAAAACAGAGTCTGCTTATTGTTCTGCTCCCTGTGAATCATGTGCAGAGTTACCATATTTACTTGAGTCCAGGATGAGTTTTTTTTCCCCCATTCATAGTTTCATAGTTTCTAGGGTTGGAAGGGACCTGAGAAGATCATCTAGTCCGACCCCCTGCCATGGCAGGAAAGAGTACTGGGGTTAAATGACCCCAGCAAGGTGTTCATCTAACCTCTTCTTATA